ACTCTGCTATAGGTTCATGTTTTGCAGAAACGGAAAGAATGAGTAGTAAAGCATCACGTGCGAGTTGGCCTACATCGTTCTGAAAATAAAGCAAGGCATATGAGATGGTGCAACGATATTCAAATCGATAGATACCTGCTCATAAAGAAATGGAATAAGCAAGGAGAAGACTATAAACTGGTCAGCGCCATCAGTACAAGAAAAGAAAAAATGGAGAAGTGTTCGATCCTCGGCTAATTTTGTACAGATCTAAATAAATGCGATTAAATTCTTCGACCTGGAAAATACGAATACCGCCTAGATTATCTCGTTCCCCCCCCCCTTCATAAGTACTCCTTTCGTAATAGAAAACTTTGACTATTACAGGTATTCCACTTACAAATTTGCAAAATTTCACCAAAGCACTAGAAACTACCTAATCTGGGTGTTACAAAAATTCAAAAAATGTGGTAGCATGAAAGAATAAAGCCCAAATCAAGTCAAAAACTAACCTGATTCAGTAAAACTACAAAGTGTTTCTCAGTGGCAGATGGGTGTCCCAGTTTGTGAGGCCGCAGTCCATCTGCACGCTGGCACCTCAAAGTCAATAATCAGTAGTAGTTTCCTGATACCAGGAATTTTCGCAACCTACCATTCAAACAACCTCAAAAGAGGATTCAATATCGGTTTATGTACCAGCAAGCAATGGTTTTGGGTATGACTCTCAGAAATAATTAGCTCATAGATGCGGATGAGAGCCAGCTGAAAGTAGTATACAAGGATGAGCGAGATCACAAAATTTACTGAGACAAACCTGGCATGTTGGCTTCAAAAAATCCGGAACCTGAATGGCCCAATCAAGCACTCGTTCCACGATCTGTTGTGTGAAGTAACGGTCAAGTATTGGGCCGATAGCTGGCTCTGGTTGCGCATTTACTTCCATCATCAGCAGCTGGCACATACGAGTCAGCTGAGCTATCAGCTGAGTCATCTACAAAACAAGTTATTACACAGAAAGTGATAAGGAAATATGAAAAATCCACCTCGTTGTAAGTAATATCGTGTTCGGGACTACATTCTTTCTTATCCAGAATTTTCTCTGCATCATCCCAACACTCGTCAAATTTGCGTTCCCATTCAGTTGGATCAGATGCATATGCAACACTCCAACTCTCCGGAACTGCCTCTATAACCCGAAAAACTAATCGTCACAGAAAGAAAAGAAAGTAAAGACTGTTACAAATAAATCACTAATAATTACAGACCAATCTTACCTTTGCGCGGTGATCCATTCAAAGTAGCCGGTGCAGTGGCAGGCGAAGGGCTTGGAGAGCCCAGCCGTGACAACCACCGTATCATCGAAGTCTTTCATGCACTGTAGACTTCTGAACATAATGTTGGATCTATATTCTACATAAAAATTACTTCAAAAAATTCTGGAGAGAAGTCAACTCCTTCAACGAACTACAGGACACAGAAAATAAACTTCATCAACAGTAACAATCAACAAGCAATGTAACAGATGACGAGCACATAACAATGATTAATAAAAATTTTTTACAATTCCAGCTGATTAGTTGAAATTCTGAGTTTTGCCGGATGATAATATCTTGATGTAGAATTTCGCAACAGAACTATTCCTCCTACTTTCCTTATGTCTTCCAGAATGCATAATGGAACGTATGAAAGTGCCCTTCCAGATGCAGCGTAGAAAGAGAAGTCGCCACGTACGATTCTGCCAATGATGAGTCTAAACATATAAGCGAAACAATTTTTCTCACGTCCACGTGAAAGCAGAAATTAGTGCGTAAGCGT